GGATGGACTGTTTAGTGAAGTTCACTACCTTCCCCAAAGATAATAACGTGTTAGACTCTTTAGGCGCATTTTAATAATCTTACCTTCTTAANAGGGCAAGACATAAATTAGTGGGAGAATAATGTAATTCTTTATGTTAAGCATGAGAGACAAGATGTAATGGGGTGGGTTGATATATTTGTTTAATGTAGTAGAGGACAAAACATTAGGTAGGGGATTAAAAGGGGGATGAATGGGAAGATAGTGAGTTTTATGTTTTAAAATGCTGAAATATGGTAATAAATAGGGGACTTGATCAGATTTTGGAGAGACAGAAAAAAGAGGAGGACAGAAAAAAAAAGAGATAAAAAGAGGAGGACAGAAAAAAAAAGAGATAAAAAGAGAGAGATGAATATTGAAGAGAGAGAAAAATTTCGAAAATATTAAGACTTCAGAAAATAAAAAGAAAAACATTCTGAAAATTCAAGAGAAGAATAGTATACACCTGATATATAATTTAAATATTCTGATATACGGATTCAGAAATTAAGAGTTGAACATTAATTAGTCTTTCAAATCTGAAAAGATTCCCTTGGCTTCTGTCCGTTGATTGTTGTTGGTGTTTCTGGATTTTTATCTTGAGTTTTAAAATCTGTCACTGGTTTCTCGTTGCTGGATGTTGGGTGTCGCTGTTGTTGTATGCTACTGAATTTCTGTTGATCTCCCTTTTCTTTTGCTTCCAATATCAGGTACACAACTGACACGCTGGTTACTGTAAACTGAAACATGAAGCATGAATACGAAAAATGTAGAGTTGAAGTTTTAAATTTATTTTAATTATATTCTGAATTTTATTTGTAAATATGAATTATTTAGCTTACTCTAATCAGAATCATGTAGTTATTTAACATATATAGTGGAACATCTGACGATAGCTTAATGGACGAACTATCTATATATTGACTAAAAAATAAATAAATAGTGTAGTAACTCCGTCTAGTTAATTCGTTATTGTTGGATGATTACCATGTTTTAAAAAGCACGTTAGTTCATCAAACGAATAAATCATTCCTGAACTTATAGGAATATTGTTTAGTTAAATACTATTGGTTAATTTCAGCATGTAAATGGTTTAGAATTAAAATTAGATTGCTAAGTTTTTTTTTAATTTGACAAACTGTGAACATGCCTAGTATAATGTAATTGGGTAGTAACATGTGAATAAGATGATCCAGGTCTAGTTTATGCCATACACGTTGGGCCTGGGCCCGCATTGGCAACGGATTGTCCTGTTTGCATCATTTTCAGATTTTATGAATCATATTCGAAACCCAACTATAATAACTCAAGCATGTAAATAAATTAAGACATTTTCTCTTTCATTTTGTAGAGACAAATTTAATAGAGAAAAATGTAGGCATTTTAGGATTGTCCTTTAAAAATAAATGAGATGAGCCTCGCCCAATAAAACGCACCAATTGTGGGGCCCTCAATAAACGTTTAATTGAATATTTAGAATTCGGGATGGACTATTTAGTGAAGTTCACTACCTTCCCCAAAAATAATAACGTGTTAGACTCTTTAGGCGCATTTTAATAATCTTACCTTCTTAAACTCGGGTGTGCATTTCATGCGACCCAAATCCAAATCCCAAAACATTGAATAAAATATGTTCCGGATTGCGGGTGCATTTCATGTGACGCAATCCAAAGACATGTTTTTTAAACGATGTTCACATTCCTTTAAAAATATAATAAAAGCGGTAAAGAATTAAAATTTGCATATGAGCTCATAATTGTATAAAATCATATAAATAAGCCTAATGTGACAGTTGAGCGACCGTGCTAGAACCACGGAACTCGGGAATGTCTAACACCTTCTCCCGGGTTAACAGAATTCCTTATCCGGATTTCTGGTTCGCGGACTGTAATACAGAGTCATTCTTTTCCTCGATTCGGGATTAAATTGGTGACTTGGGACACCCTAAATCTCCCAAGTGGCGACTCTGAAATAAATAAACAAATCCCGTTTCGATTGTCCTTTAATTGGAAAAAACTCCTTCGCCCCTCGCGGGGGCGGAAAAAGGAGGTCCGACACATCCTAAATTACTAAAATAGATGCTTGCATTAGTAATTTTCATATAATAAATTAACTTTATATTACTAATTCTTACATAATTGGGGTCTAAACCAAACCATCCGTTAGTGCTTCGAAATTCAAACAGTAGCTTGTCCGTAAAAGCTACTTAACCTTTTCTTACATTAAAATTTAACCATAAAAAGTTATACGTCCGTCCCCTTTCGTATTAACTCTAATAGCTTGTTTGGATGGTGGTTATGTATTGTTTTATAATATATGATATTATATTGCATTATATTATATATGTATTATTTTAATGAATACAACAAATAAATAGTATCATTTATTATTATAAAGAAAAAAATAAGGTAAGAAGTAAAATTATTTTATAGGAAAAAAATAAAGGTAAAGAATAAATTATAATTATTTAATAGTAAGGAAGAGCAATATAATATTAAAATAAGGTAATAAAACGTTCATACTAAATCAATCGTACATAATTTGACACCTTTTGTTATTATATAACGATAAAATTAATATTTTAATATAATAAAATTTAAGTAATTATAAAAATAAATATTTATATTTAAAATAACAATACAATAGGTAACAATCTTCCAAACAAGATAGTAAAATATGACAATATGTTGAAATATGCTTGTTTATATTCCACAATTGTTCTACGGTGGCGCTTGTTTGAAAAGTTGGTCAAAATTTCTTTCTAGACTTTCTTTGTTTGTATAATTGGAAAAACTTTGAGATTATTTATTTAAATCATATGTTCACACAATAGGCTAAACGTGTGAACTCACCAGCCGTTCCTCACTGCCACTTGAGAATTTAAAAAGAAACTACGACTAATTTTATTTTTTATTTTTAAATTGCCGTCGTTTCACATGTTATCCGGCGGTGGAAGGTTGAGGTCCAGATTTAGACAGTTGGCGGTGATGGTTGGTTGATTTACATCGTTAAAGTTGTAGTTTAGCACCGAAGATGATTCTGACTCAGTTCGGATCCCACACCCACTGACGCTATCGCCGCCACCTAAAAAAGCAACCGTCCCTCTTTGGCTACTGGGGTCGTGATGACTCACTTCAGCTCCAGTTAAAGCCTCTAAATACTGATAATCACGCGCCGACGGCGGAGCAGAACCTCTGGCAGCAGGAAAATGACGAAACTGATGATTCTGTTTCAGATACGTAAAACTCGCCGCGCTACCAACGGAGGACCCACCGCCGAGGTTGAGATTGTTCTGTTTCAGATACGTGAAACTCCCCGCACTACCAACGGAAGACCCACCTCCGAGGTTGAGATTCAACGGTGCCGGCGACGAGTCCTTAATAACTGTCGGAGGAAGAAAATTGGTCTTTGCCTTTGTACCGTGAAACTCCCTTGCCGCAGCATCATAGGTTCTAGCAGCTTCCTCCGGTGTATCAAATGTCCCAAGCCACACACGAGTTTTCTTGAAAGGATCTCTAATCTCAGCAGCATATCTCCCCCATGGCCTCTTCCTTACACCCCTATAATGTATTTCATCTGAAACTCCACCGTTCATATTCTCCGCTGCCGGAACCGCCACTGTCACCGCCGCATCACCCATAACATTCTGCGCCATCTGAAAATGGAGGATTGACAGAGAAGTAGTATACAACTGAGCAAAAAGAGTGAAGAAAGGAATATAGGAAAAGAGATAGCCACCACCTTCTTGGAATGAGAAGGCGATAAAGAAAGCGGCATTTGTGTTTTGTTGGCGGTTATTTCTTACTCTCTTCCTTCTATTATTTTGTCCATTATCAGTCATCATGTTCTATTTTTAAAGTATCATAGTTTAAAACGTTAAATTAAATTTTAAAGCCAAACTTTCGCTTTTGGACAGTAAAAAGATATTATATTAAATTGAAAAAATCTTATAAAAGCCATAATATAAAATTTTTGTGCTGGAAAACTAATTCAAAGTTGTAATAGGATACCTATATTATTTAGGATTTAGTTTATTTAATTCATATCTAATAGTAGGATTTATAGTCAGAATTAATATAGGAATAGGCTTTCATATTTTTAATTGACATATATTTCGTAATATTATAAATAAGGTATTACTAGCCTATTTTAAGTGTGAAAATATGTAAAGAAAATAAAGAATTGTAAAGAATTTCAGAGATTTATAATAAAAATATTTTTCTTTTCATTCCAACGGTAAGTTATACTAGTATTTAATAACTTAAGGCATGCTTATAGAGTAATAGTTAATATCTTCACATATAAATGGGAGTATTAAACTTAATAATATTTAATCTAAGTGACAACATTGGAATTATTCTTTGGTTCCGTTTGACCACTAACATGATTCAATAACGTAACTGCCTCCAAAGTCCAATAGCTTTATTAGGTCCTTAAAAGCTACTCCACTTTACCTTTCTTTACGTTAAAAACTACTTATCCTTAAAAATTTATATGGAGACTCCAAAATACGAGTACACTACTTCAAAGTATGGCGAAACCCCATGCACCAATTTGTCACGTTAGCTGATACTGAAAGACAAAACAGCCTACAAAGGAAGCAGTGGCGGTGCATGAGTTTATGATTGTTTCAACGGTGGCGCTTGTCGGTAAAATTGCTCGAAAATTTTCTTATACTTCTTAAAGTTGGTTTGTTTGTGAAATTTTTTACAAACAAAACTTTGAAAAAAAAATTGATTAACAGGCTAATTTTTGCAGACTAGGGATTTTTGTTTTCTAATGAATTACGAGATGCTCATAGCTATGCTATTAAGTTACAATATTTTTGTGGCCCTGTGCTGTCGTCCGGTTTAAGTTCAATATGTTCGTTTTTACGTTATATATGTGCATTTCTTTCCAGAAGAACAAGAGTGTAGTATTGGAGTTTTAGATAAGCTTTAATTCAGAGATGAAATTGGATTTTTCATGGTCATATGACTCGTATCTGTTATTTCCATACTCTATATATTCAGTGTCTATATAGTGGTTATTTAGCTGTTATTAAAGGAGAGAGACGTTTAATATTACTTGCTGATTTCAAGCACTTTTCCAATGACATACTCCCTCCTTTCCAATTTATGTGAACCTATTTGACTGAGCACAAAATCTAAGAAAAAATGAAGACTTTTGAAATTTATGGTCCTAAACAAGTCAAAAAGGGACTCAGAGTATTTGTGTGGTTATAAAAGTTTCTCATTAAGGGTAAAATTATAAGTTTAAGCTAAATTATTACCAAATTTAGAAAGGGATCATTCTTTTTTGAACGGACCAAAAAGAAAATAGGTTCACGTAAACTGAATAGAGGAAGTATATAATTGTTCTTCTTAGCAGGTGAGTCCTTTAAACTCTCTATTTTTTGTTTATTTGTTCATTATAATATTATTGCTCTTGTATTCCTTACATGAACGTACAAAACTTTGCTAGCTAATTAATTTGTCAACCGTACTTCCCTTTTATTACTTTACTAGTTTTTGGACACTTGCAAGCTTAAAAAGTACAAGGTCAATTAGCAAAATGTGTGACCAAATTGAATGTCATCATAGTTGATCCATTTGACACTTGCCAAAGAACAACGGTAAAAAGAAATTTAAAACCCCTCTATCATGCACCACAATTCCAAAGTTGTCGTTCTTTAGTAATTTTATGCTCTTAAAATATCCGAGGCAAACAAATATACTATACAAAGCTAAAATTTGATGTTATTTTCACATCAACGTTTTCAAATTGCCCCTGCCAATAAGAATTTTACTAAGAAAATAGCAAAATTCTCATGTTAACTATTCTAGGCCATCATATGCCATATTTCTGGGG